AAGAAAAATATTGGCACAGAATCCTATGAAGAGTGGGGCCAGCAGGTGGCATGGTAGTTAAGGTGGGTGGACTCCCACATGGCTTACCACAGTTCAAGTCCTAGACATGGCAGCTTGCTTTCTCACTTTCCTTCTCTCTGTGTCTTTCTGCTGGTTTACTTAAAAAAAATTAAAAAATAAAATAATGACAATGAATAAATTAAATAAAAAATAATTCTTAGGGAAAAAGAAAAGAATCCTAGGGACCAGCAGTTGGCATAATGGCTATGTTGCTGGCCTCCCTTGTAGTCGACCACGGTTCGAGTCCTGGACCCGTGGCTTAAACTCATGCTGGGCGTGTGTGCATGCATGCCCAAGATCCCAAGAGGAGAATGGAGGAGAAGGGATTGCGGCATGGCAATCCCCCGGGGGGTGATATCTTGCTTTCTGTCTCTCTGTCTCTCTCTGTGGTGAGCGCATGTGCCCTATAGCAAAAACCTCTCCAAAAAAGAAAAAAGAAAAAGAATCCTATGAAGAGCATGAACTCTAGAATCAGATATGGGTTTGAGTCTGACTTGCCACTGACTAGTCTTGTGTCCTTTAACAGTGGATTTAACTGCTCTACACCCAATTTTTTCATCTGTAATATGAGAATAATACCTTACAGATTTGTTGTAAGGATTAAGTATTTGTTGTAAGGGTTAAGTGCCAGCAGGTGGCACCCTATAACAAAACCTAAAAAGACAAACAATTTGCTATAGGGCATGTGTACTCACCAGAGCCAGAGAGAGATGGAAAATGAGAAAGCATGTCCCTGGTGGTGATGTGGGGGATGGCTATGCTGCAGTCCATTCTCCTGGGAGTTTGGGCACACACGTGCCCAGTATGATTTTATTCAAGTCACCGGGTCTTGGACTCAGACCACAGTTAGCCATGTAGGAGTGCAGCACCTTAACCACCATGCCCCTGCTGGCCCCGTAATGTGTTTTTTTTTTTAGTTAATTTTTTCAGAGAGAGAGAGAGAAAGAAAGATATTACCCTTAGGACCAGCAGATGGCGAAATGGTTATGCTGCTGAACTTCCATGTACTTGACCACTGTTCAAGTCCTGGACCTGGCAACTTAAAATTCACACAGGATGCATGTACATGCTTGCTCAAACTCCTGAGAGGAGACTGAAAGAGAAGGGATTGCTGTGAGGCCATCCCCCCAGCGGATGCTTTCTCACTTTCTGTCTCTCTGGCAAGTGCACATGCCCTATAGCAAAAATCTCTCAACCA